AATTTTGTCCTTACTTGAATCATAGCAACATGGAGAAGAGAGGCCTCTGCTTCCACAGTGGAGCTTGGAGCTCTGAGGCAAGCGTGAACACGCCATTTCCCCCTCCCTGCCATCCTCCCTTTCAGCTCAGCTGTTCTGTTATTTGGGGGGTATAACTTTGTTTTTAATGTTAAAGTCCTATTCCTTTTTTAATTTTTTTTATTAAGAGATTTTCTATTCATTTTACATATCAGCCATGAATTCCCCTGTCCTCCCTCCTCCAACCCCCAGCCTCTCCCCCAATTCCATCCCCCATTCCCACCTCCTCCAAGGCAAGGTCTCCCCTGGGGAGTCAGCAGAGCCTGGTACATTCAGGTGAGGCAGGTCCAGTCCCCTCCTCCCTGCACTCAAGCTGAGCAAAGTGTCTCAGCATAGGCCCTAGGTTCCAAAAAGCCGACTCATGCACCAATATTTTTTTTATCTGAATAGTTTCCCCTCCCTCTCCACCTCCTGGTTGCTGCATCTCTCTCTCCCATTCAGATCCACTCCCTCTCTGTCTCTCTTTGGAAAAGAACAGGCTTCTGGGACATAACAACCAAACATGACAAAATAAAATAGAATAAGATAAAACAAAACCCATCACATTAAAGATGGACAAGCCAAGTCAACAGACAAATCAAAGAGCCCCATGAGAAGGCATAAGAGTCAGAGACCCATTTGTTTGCATACATGGGAGTCCCATAAAAGTACTAAACCAAAAGCTATAGTATATGTGCAGAAACAAATCCAACATATTAAAGATGGCCAAGCTAAGCCAACAGAAAAATAAAAGAGCCCCATGAGAAGGCACAAGAATCAGAGATCCACTTGTTTGCATACATGGGAGTCCTGTAAAAGTACTAAGCCAAGAGCTGTAGTATATGTGCAGAGCACCTGGTACAGGCCTGTGTGGGCCCTGTGCTTGCTGCCTCAGTCTCTGTGAGTTCCTTCCCCTCTGGCTCTTGCCCTCTTTCTGTCTTTTCTTCTGCAGGCTCCCAGAGGGCTGAGGGGAGGGATGTGATGGAGACATCCCGTTTAGAGCAGTGTGTTCTATGGTCTCTCTCTCTCTGCACCGTGTCTTGCTGTGGGTCTCTGTATTTGTTCCTATCTAGTCCTAGCTGTTCTTGAGTTGTTTCTCTTTAGGGAAAATACTCTCTTGTTTTCTTAAATTCCTCCTAAATGGAGTTGGAGGTGCTTAATCCAGAGCTTGGGGTCTTTCCTCAGTTTCAGAGAATTCTCAGCATCACATGGCACTCACTTCTCTAGTTGTCCTTCCTTTCTTCTCAGTGCTTCTGATTAACTATTTTACATCACCATCTATTTCCTAGAGTAGCCCCTCTTGCAAAGCCATCTATTTTTCTTATAATTTTTAGAGCTCCCTTTGATTTTTTTTTAAGATACAGATGACTAGTATCTGGTAAAATTTTCCATCTTTATTTCTCAAGCATAGTAATGAGAGTATTTGATTCTGATCATTGTGACACATAGGTCAGCTGTAATCCTCTCTTGCCTGTCTTCCCTCCTCTTGGTTTTGGCCATTTGCTCCCCTTTGTTGTTATTCATAATTTTTTAATCAGACATTCTATATTTTATATATAAAATTGTAGAGGTCTATAGAGGCAGGGCTGGTAGGAGCACTGGAGACCTGAGCTCCGTTCCCAGCTCCCACACGACAGCTCACAAGCTTCTGTGACTCCGTCCCCGGGTGTCTGATGGCCTCCTCTGACCACGGCACAGGCACTCCACTCACATGGCACACAGACATACCTGCAGGCGAAGCACCCATCCATACACATTGAAAAACCAGAGAAGAAAAAACAGAAATAAAGGTCGAGTGCCTGCATGCCGGTGTCCTCCCCGGGAAAGGGTTTAATCTTTCCCCGTGGAAGACAGCAGAATAAAACTGTTCATTCAGAGCCATTCAGTTATTTCAAAGATCAGAGCAGGAATTTGAGTTTGGTTTCGGTCTTGTTTTCTTGACTCCCAAGGCACAGCCCACTGAGACCTTGCCTGAAATCACAGGATGCTTACTAAGGGCCCTTTGTCTGTGGTAGACCCTAAAGTTCAACTCCCAGGTAAACTAAGGTAGCCACAACTTGTGCTTGGGATTTTAGACCCTTGACAGCAGCTTTCTCATAGCTTTAGATCTATCAAATCCTTTAAGTCAAAGGTGGAGAAGAAGGCTCGGGTTGTTTCTAAGGGTTCCTTCGGGTCCTCAGCACCTCAAGTCCTTGTTGTACTGGCTGTCCTCAATTTCCTTTTGGTCTCCTCAGCTAGGGGAGGCTCCTAAGCTACGAGTCATGTAGAAACTGATTGATGAAGGAAGCAAGATGCAAAGGGAGAGCTCTGCGTCCTGTGTTTCCTCCGTTCCCTCAAGTCCGTTTGTCTTGATTGAAGATGAGTGCTCGAGACAGCACATCCTTCTTCTGCTTCGGCTTTTCCTTCTCTTTCATCCAACTTTTGTAATTGTTCTCAGTAGAGAACTCAGTGGATTTTTCCAATTATAGTTTGGAATTATGCAATCTAAGGTTTTCCATAACTGCAGGGTATGTGGGAGTATTATGTGTTTGTAACAAAGGTTTGCTTTAGGAACAGAGGGTATGTGAAATATTCTAACTCTATTCAAGTTAAAATCATGATATGTTTATTTTGTTGCTGTCTCTTTCTTCTTTATAGCTGAATAGGCTAGAGGTTGCAGATAATGGTAGAATCCCTACCACTGAGGACATCTCTGTCCTGTAGTAGAGATACAGACCTGTTTATCACTTATCTCCATCTACATGTACACCTCCCTCTCTGGAGTTATAGGTTGTCCTAAGTTCTTCAGAGTGAAGTAAAGGATGTTATAAAAGGGAGTAAGAAAACATTGCGACCAGGAGAAAGGGTTTTAGAGAAAGTGTCCACTTAGCAGTGTTGCCCAAGGACTGAAGATTGGAAGGAATTATCCCAGCAAAGAGGGCTTTCTAGAAGCAATAGGCTGTGCACAGGCTCAGAAGCAAGAACTTGGTTTGTGTGATAACTGATAGCATGTCAGTGTGTCCCTGGCATTTCTGGAGTGAAGAAGAGGGATGTGTGGGCAGTGGGGGATAGAAGAAAGGAATGGGGGCAGGTGAATTTGGGCCTTTATGATTTCTCCTAAATGCAGTTGAAGGCACTTCATGCTTAGGTACTCAGGGTCTTCTACTATACCTAAATCACCCCAGAAGCTTTGTGAGCATTGCAAGACCAGAAGAGAAGGTCCATTTAGGAATTTTTAATAGAAAGAACATATTAAGCTGGCAAGAACAGGCTTGATCCTAACTGAAAGGCAGAGACATAAACAATAACATTAAGAATATAGGTGGTAGTTCAGTCTAAATGTGAGAGGCACTGGGGTGATGAACATCTCCCTCTTGGGTGAGATGGCTGATTTATGAATATATGGAGGGTCTCAGGAAGCTACTGAGTGTGATACGTGCTTCTTGCCCTGGATTATCACGGCCCTTGCTACTGACCACATGCTGGCCCAGCTTATGTAACATGGCTGGGACTTTGAGAGACATGAAAAAAAAAGTCTATATGATAAATTCTTGCTCTAAATGCCAGTGGCAAACTATCTACCTATAGGCAAATACAATTTAGCAGGCATCTGTGGCCTGTTTGTTGCCCTGTGCCTCCGAGGTGGCCTCGCCTGCATGCTGCCCGCACCTGAACTTGAAGGCGGTATCTGATCTGGAAGCAGGCACCAGCCCTTCGCTGGGTGGAAGGGAGCTAGCACGCTTTGTCAGTTTTTCCGCTGCCGCCCCGCTCTGTGCAGCCACACCTACACGATCCATTGGTGTTGGACTCCACCAGGCCCTTTATTTCACATTTGAACTGTGGCTAGGGGCTGAGTAACTGCTGTGAGCCCGGTACTAACAGCTTCATGTAGTCCTTGGCTGTGAGTGCTCCCGCGGAGCTGGGACTCATCTCAGCCACCTCTCTTGTTTTACAGTTAAGTCACAATAGCTTAACTCCAAACACTGTTCCTGTTTCTCAGTCAGATGTCTGGGAAGTGGCAGATCCTGGCCCCATCCCCATTCCATGTCATTTTTAGACCCAATGGGGGTGTGTTCTGTTTGATTTAGTGTTTTCCCCGCCTAAGGCAGAAACCTGATCCCACACACGCAACAGGATGGCCTGTGCTGCTAACCGCCTGCTTTAGCGAGTTTGTGGCTAACTTCTCCTTGCTGTGACCAGACGCCTGACACGAAGCAGTTTAAGGGAGGGGTTTGTTTTGTCTCATGGTTGGAGGGTACCATACAGGCCTATCCTGGCGGGAAGGGCATCTCCGCGGGAGTGTGACGCAGCTGATCACCCTGTGTCTGAAGTCAGGAGGCAGAGAGATGAATGCTGGTGCTCAGCTTGCTGTGTGTGTGTGTCCATCCGTCCAAAGGGTAATCTTTGACATCACCCTATCTCCTGGAGCTTGCTGGTTACTTAGACTGACTGGCCCATGAGCCCCAGGGATCCTCTTCCCCTGAGCTGGGTTGTAAGCACCCTGGACTAAAGATCAAATGATGTTTGTGAGGCAAATTCTTAACTGAGTTGTCTCCAGAGCTCAGTCCCCCCCCTCCTTTTTTTTCAATCTTGGACCCCACCCCACAGGGTCCTGTCTACATTCAGGGTGACGTTGACTCATCCGTGAAGCCTCTCTGGAGACACCCTCACAAACATGCCCAGAGGGGTGTCTCCTAGGTGATTCTTCATCGGGTCAAGTCTCCGGGGAAGCATCCCATCATTGTCATTTTATTCCACACCCCCAGCCCCAAGAGTAGAACTGGTGCACACTCCAGCAAGGCTGGCGACAACTCCAGAACTATTGCTAGGTGAAAAAAAAAAAAGTTTAGCCAAACTTTTCCTAGTTAAAAATAGAAGGAAGCCCAAGACAGAGGGGGGTAATGGGCTTTTCTTCTACGAGCAATCTTTGTGAGTGAAGTTTACCCCTCTCTCTTTTCTACCAGGAACGGCAGAGTTTAGTAGAGATTGGATGGTCCCAGGCTTCTGACCTAAGTAAAGATGGAGGACATGTGGATGTTGACATAACCCACGGGTAAGTGAGTCTGTTGTGCATTCTCTAACTGGGTGTCAATGCAGAGGTTGTACATTCTGGCCTGCCCCAGAGCATAGAGAGGAACATTGATGAGCGAAGTTATGGTTATTGCCAGTGATAGAGGAAAAAAATCCAAATGTGTGGGCTCTGGGAGAGCCACAGATGGCATCCCACTCATGGACATGCCCCTGCATTGCCCTTGTTTGGTCAGACTAGCTTGCACTCTTTAGCAGGTGAGATAGGAAGATTCCTCTGTCAAAGTGAAGGGGCTTCTGTCTGCCGATTGGGAGTGTGCTGGGAGATGCAACCAGATGTGGCAAGAGATGGCTGCTCAGGATTGAGATTCCCCGCCAGCAAGACTTGTCGGGTCCCTCTCCGTATCAGCTGTGATGACCAATGGACAAACAGTGACAGTCTTACTGTGTGGAGTAGTGGCCAGTCTGACCAAAGAATGGGTCACAAGGAAATGACTCCTAACAGCTGAGGTTGGGATCTCCCCAGGCTTGGCTCTTCTCCATCATCAGAGAAGAAGGAGAAGTACCCTTCCTTTCCCTCTGCCCACCTCCCTCTGCCCACCTCCCTCTGCTCATCTCCCTCTTCTCACCTCCCTCTGCCCATCTGAGCCCTTAGCTCACTAGTCTGAGATCCCTACAAAACAGAAGTGAACAGTCATGGGCATGACATTGACATATGTCCTTTGTTTAAAAAAATACTTTTATTTATGTGAATATGTCTATATGGGTATATGCCATATGTCTGCTGGTGCCTGTGAAGCCAGAAAAGGCATTGGATCCCCTGGAGCTGGGATTATAGGCGGTTATGAGTCACTTGACGTGGTGCTTGGAACTAAACATGGGTCCTCTGAAAGGGTAGGAAGCACTCTTTATTCTTCAGTCATCTCACAGAACTGCCTAAATGTATAAATACAACCTGCTCAGTCTGTTTAGTGTTACCTGTGACTTCAAGACTGATCAGTTGGTATTGGATACCAATTGGGGGCTCATCCCTGGGGAACACAGTTTCTCCTATTCCCAGCATTCCCAAGTTTCCTATAGTTCTTTGTCTAGGGTTGGGTGGGACCCCATAAGATTTCCTACTTACATGTTAGCATGTCTGTTGATGTTGTACCAATTTGGGTCTGTTTTAGGCAGCCAGATAGTTAAGATTTTACGAGTGAAGTTTCCTTGTCATTTTCAGGATACAGCCAATGGTCCTTATGAAGACTTTTGATTCTTAAATTCTTCCCATCACACAAATAAAATCTAATGAACTTTCATGAACCTGCCATCCAGCCCCGATGAACACTAACACTTTGCCAGTCTTACTTCATTTGTTCCTTTCAGGCTCTCAGTGGTTAAAAACATTTGTGTGGGGGTCTTACTCCGTGGCCCAGATGGCCTTGAACTCAAAGTGCTCTGCTCTTCACCTACGTTCTATTCCTAGCTTGTCTTCCCGAGTACGGAGGCACAGGCCCGTGCCACCATCCCTGGCTATTTAAAAACTTTTGTAGAACCACTTTAAGGCAATTATCAGGCATTATGCCATTTCACATATAAATACGGCCGTGTACATTTCTAATTGAAAAAGACTTTTATTTTCACAACCATTACAGCATTATTGTTCCCAAGTGTATTGGTTCATTGTACCATGCAATACCTAATCCATATTCAAATTTCCCCAGAGGCTTCAAAGTTATCTTTTTATTGTTTCTTTTCAAATTCATATGTGAACACAGCCCTCACTTTACATTTTATCACTGTATCTTGTAACTTTATTTTATTATGCATCCAGTCCCCCATTCCTCTTTCTTTCTCATGGCTTGCTTTGATGGAGATGTAGTTTCATTTTTCCTATGGCAGTTCACCCTTCTGATGGATAGCCTCTGCAAGGAATCCTGTAACTCATTTCTCTGTCTTGGGTATAATCTGTGAGTTGGCACATTGTCTCAGCAACTTGGTTAAATTCAGTGTAATTTCTTTTAGACAAGAGTGCTTCCTAAGTAGCAGTGGTGTGTGTGTGTGTGTGTGTGTGTGTGTGTGTGTGTGTGTGTGTGTGTGTGTGTGTGTGTATCAGGCTATTTTATTTATCAATGTGGATTAATATTTTTGGATGCACTGGGAACTAAGGTCGGTCACTTTCCAAGGGGAAAGGATATCCAGAGTGTAGCCAGGGGTAACAGTTACTGGAAAAAGTAGAACCTCTGGGTTTAACAGTCAGCCGAGTCTCTTGGGCTGCTCTGGCTGAGGTGTAATGGAATTTCTCACCAGGGATCCAAATTCAATACATGTGTGAGTTGGCAGACAAGATGGTTTTGAAAATAAGCCACAAGCTTTGAATGATCAGACTATGGACAAGAGGCAGGGCTGTAAAGAGAAGATTCTGGACACAGCCTGGCCTTTTATCCTTAGTCTTTCTGGAACTTCCTGGGGATGTAATTGCTGGGCTCCCTCGCTTGCAGGGAACCAAGCAGAGGCTGGAATCTTGTAGTTTAGGTGGAGATTTGTGCAAGGCTGTTCTGTGGATTCTGGCGCCATGAGCGAGGCTTTCCTGACAGAGTCTGCCTGTCCTGCCAGTGTTTGTGAAGAAAGTGAAACTAAGTGATTTCTGTTTGTGTGCCAGCGATGGGCTGCCTCTGAGAACAACTGGCATGTTCTCTTTGCTCTGTCTAGTAAATTGACCTCTGCGGAAGGGACCCTGTTAGTTTTTTTCTTTCGTTTTTACTCTTTGCTCTTTGGGGGCCTGCAACCAAGCTCCCAACTAAATACATGGATACTTATTCTTACCTATGAATGCCTGGCCTTAGCTTGGCTTGTTTCTAACCAACTTTTCTTAAATTATCCCATCTACTTTTTGTCTCTGGACTTTTACATTTATCTATTCTATTTCTTTCTTTTTTTACTCCATAACTGGGTGAGTGGCTCAGTGGCTGGCCCCTGGCATCCACCTCTCCTTTTCCTTTTCTCATTCTTCCCTCTTCTCTTTTTCTCCTTCTATTTATTCTCGCTGCCTGGCAGCCCTGCCTATCCCCCTCCAGCCTAGCTATTGGCTGTTCAGCTCTTTATTAGACCAATCAGGTATTTTAGACAGGCAAAATAACAGAGTTATTAGAGTTAAACAAATGAACATAAAAGAATGCAACACATCTTTGCATCATTAAACAAATGTTCCAAAGCATGAATGAATGTAACACATCTTAAACTAATATTCCACAGTAGACCCCAGGAGCCAGAAATGGATGCCAGATTCCAAGGGTATAGAGGTGGTTTTAAGACAGCATGGCCTTAAACTGCACTCACCAAAGGCTCGGGGATTGGCAAGAGAGATGCCTCCTGGATTGGGAGAGGATTATTTTGTTTTGTAGTGATAAGGATGGAATCCAGGTCCTTGCACAGGCTAGGCGAGAGCTAAACAACTGAGCTACACCCCAGCTCCAACTCCAGGATGGAGACACTCTTTCAAGGCTACCATCCAGCAGCTCACACAGGGCGGAACAAGCATTGAGTGCTCTGGGCCCATAGAATTGGTTGCCAGCTTTTGATAACATCAGCTCTAGTAAGAGCTGTCTCCTCCTCCTCCTTCCTCTTTCCTTGTATTCCAAAGCCTGTGGGGATTAACAGCTGTTGAAGGCAATCTTGATGCTCAGCCTACTTTAAGACTTGGTCTGAAACCCATCTAGACTTGGAAGGAAGAGTTGAACTTCTAAATATTACTGTAAAAATGGTTGAAGTATTTAATAAGTTCAAGTGATTCCTAATGACTTCAAGTTAAGAGGAAGGTCCTGGCACCTGCTGAAGTTTTCATACAGAACAAAAGAAAGTTCACCTTCCAACCTCTCCAATGGGACTCTTCAAAGAACAAAGTAAACATAAAATGTTTTGATCATATCCTTGTAGCCTGTTTGCCTAGCTTTCTGGTAACATAGCTGGTTAGTGCTTGAATGACAAAATTGGTAAAGGCTAACTTGCTGGCTGAGGAGAAGGTGAACCAAGCTGACTTCATCTCTTTCCTGCCTTCAGATCAAAGTGCAGCCTCAGAGCTCTGTAGCCAGGGGCACACATCCTTCAGATGGCCTGTCAGTGCCAAGTGGAAAACTGGCTTTCAGTCATTTCAACCTTGTTATCATCTTGTGACTTCCCAGCTGGCTGAACAAGTGTGCTTTTGACTCAAAATGCCTCATGCTGTCTTCTGATTCTTTCGATGTGACTTTCAGGGTCACGGAAATTTTGTAGAGAAAAGTACTCCAGTATGTCTTTACCGGGTATTCACCTTTACTGAGGTAGAGTGAACCGCTGTTTCCTTTACTTCTTTGAGAATGATTATTATGATGAAAAAATGGCCACACATAAACTTTTTCATTGCTGCACCCAAAATATGTGATAGGAACAAGAAAAGAAAATTTTATTCTGCCTCATGGTTTTAAAGGTTTTAGTCCTTTATAGAGGCGAAAGCGTCCAATGGAGTGGCATGGTCTATGGTGTCGGGAACATGGATTAGAGGCTCTACAGTACATCAGGAAGCAGGGACCAGGCTAAAACCTTTAAAGGTCCATTCCAACATTCCACAAGTGAGGCCCCAAAGCCTAAGATCTTACAGCCTCCCCAATTAGCACCACCCACTGAAGAACAAGCATTCATGATATGAACCTGGCCAGGGGAACATTTCAGATTCAAGCCACACAGTCTATAAGCATTTAATAATCCCACTTCTGCTGGTTTTCTTTGTTTTAAAAACAAAAGCTCCCTATTCAATGTTATCTAACCAAAGGGCACAATACTCAATGATTTTATTTACAGTTGGGTAGACAAAGGTAGCCCTATAGGAAGACTGTACTGTGTGTGCTGAGTGAGAGCTTGTTCGTCATGGGTAGAGCATGCATATCAGTGACTCTTCTGCTGGTTCAAGTAGCTTCAGCTGATTTATTGGTGTTTGAGCCTTAATTATTTTGCAAATCATGTTTCCCTGAGAAATTTATGAATATTGATGCTTTTTTGATATCCTGGCCCAACCAGTTCCAAAAACTACTGTAATTTTTCTATTAGTCTCACTGTCTGGCCCACTATCCTATTCTTTCATCGACTACCCACAAAAAATGACAAGAAAGGGAGGAAACTGATAGTATAGATTTTAAGGTTTTTATACATTCGATTTGGGAAGTTGAAATTCTGTAAACTTTTAGGTCTTCTAGGAGAGATGCTGAGCTGTAGGGAAATTGTTCTCTGAAAATGAAAAAAAAATTATGAAAACATTATTATTTTTGAGGGAAAATAGGTGTTTAACTTCTTGCTGCTGGTTTTTTTTCTGGTTACTGGCCAATTTTGCTATTTCTAATACAAGAAAAACACTTGATGGTGAATAATTTGCTCAAGTCAGATAAAACACAAAATTATAATGTATGATAGATGTGTTTCCATTCGTGTGGAAAGTCATACTGAAGACCATCCAAAGTACAGTAGTGAGTTGTTGTTAAAATGGGGCAGGCAGTTTTAATCCACATTTTGAATGAATCATACTTCTTTGGAAGCCCTTCAGGGGGCATGTGGCATCTTCTAAGAGATTGATGGTGGTCCTCTGATGCTGGTTCTCATGGAAGCAAGCATGGAGGGCAGAGATTTTTGCTCCATTTTGCTGAAGGATTGAGGGTTTTCTTTAAAGCTCTCTGAAAGGTTCTTGGCTAATTTTCAAGAGGTTTGGCTGTGACAACTGAGGTAATGTTATTTAACATGACTTTCCAGAATTTTTCAAATGCTGGAGATTTCATCTAGAGATACTTATATAATATAACTTCATTTCTGCTTTAGCTATTAATAATGTATTCAGTCTCTCTTTTAATGCAGATGATATATTAACCATATCAGTCTCCAGAAGAAGAGGTAGCAACTGCAAGTGGTTGATTTGGTGGTCCTTATTTTTGGCTCCTCCCATTGTTTTTAGACTTTGACGTAATATTGCTCACATAGCTCCCACCGCTGGCTTCTGTAATGTTTAAGTGGTGGCTTGATAGCTCTCTAGTTAGGGGTTGGCCTAGATAAGATAGAGGGTTTAGCGGATGGGTGAATAATGTGTATCAACCGTAGAGTTCCATGAATTAGCTACGTCTCTGTATGTGTCTTATTAACCACGCAGAGCCCTCAGTGATAGCTATTGCTTGGAACAGACTGAGGACTTTCATGTACAGACAGGGGGTGCTATTGTTTTTAAAAGCAGGGCTAAGGGTCAAACCCAGAGTCTTGTACTACTTGCTCTTGCCACTGCACTGCACCCCTGGTAGATACCCATCTCTGTGTCTGTCCTGTTACCTCTGGATGTCTTCCTGTGTCTGTCTTTTGAATAGGTTCATTTTAGATGTTATCAGGGAGCAAACAGTTGATACAGAAACTATGTAGGGTAGAGTAAGATCCATATTTGACTGGCTGAAGAATTCTTTCAGACGATCCAATGTCCAAGTTATAACTAACAACAAAAGTATGTTTAATGATGATTGGCTTCCCATAATTAAAGTGATTAAAACAAATATTAAGCTGTTGAGAAACAGTGTTTTTTAAATTTTACCTTTTTAATGAAGTATCAGTAAACAAAACACAGAAATCTTCAACCTACAATCCAGTGGAAATTGACATATGATGCACATGTTTGCTTTCCATATAGATCAAGATACAAGTGCCAAGTATGATGGGACATGTCTGAATCACAGCACTTGGAAGGCCAAGGGGGACTGCTAGTGTGAAACTAATATGGACTGCATTACAAGGCCCTATCTAAATAAATACCGAAATAATTTCTAACACACACACACACACACACACACACACACACACACACACACACACGGACACACATACACAGCGACTCAAGATGTGTTTGTTGCTTTAGGAGTTTGTGTGCACTTCCTATTTCGGGTAGCTGTGAGGCACCCGGCAGAGGCGCTGGGAACTGATCCTTGGTCTTCTGCAAGAGCAGCGGGCACTCTTAACTGGGGAGTCATTTCTTTGGCACCCCACAGTGATTTCTTACTCGCCTCTCTCTCATATTTTATAGCCCCTTGCCAAAAGAAAGCCACTATTCTGACTTCTAGTCTCAGCCAGCATCCTGAGGATGTCTTGTCTGTTCTGGAACTTCACACAAATGGCACCACAAAACATATACTCCTTCTTTCTGGAGTGTATACTTGAGTAAAAATACCTTTTCCGTGGCAGGGCCATTCCATTGAGTGAATATACTACCATTTAATTGTTCATAACTTTACTGATGGACAGTCTTCTAGTTTTAATAATTTTGTATTAGTATGTGCATATTACGGGGGGCTTGCACATGTGGAGGTCAGAGGTTACTTTTGTGTAGCCATTTTTCTCTTCATATCTTTACATAGATTCTGGGGTTGAACTCAGGTCATCAGGTTTACATTGTATTGGGGAAAGAAATGTCTTATCCACTAAGCCATCTCACTAGTCCTTCAGGTTTTTCTTTATTATTTTGAATAAAGCATCTCTGAACATCATGTACATGTTTTCTGGTGGTCATGTCTGTTATTGAGTTATAGAGTAGACAGACACTTACTTTTTAGGACACACTGATAGACAGTTTTCCAAATTGATTATGTCAAATTAGACTCCACCAGCCAGATATGTGAATTCTAGTTGATTGTCAAACTTGCCAACACTTGGTATTGTTCAGGATCAATTTGAAACACTTTAAAAAATGCTAGCTCTAAATCTGAAATACAAAGTTCACATCAAGTCAGTGACATTTTATTTAAATAAAAATTTGAATCACAGGTGTCATTATTATTGCATGCCTTCTGGGTTCAACATGCTTTACTGTGGCATGAGGCCTCTAGAGAATAAAATATAACCTCTTCTTTCAAGATTTCCATATGTCATGCATGGGGTGCCATAGACAACAACTCACCAGCAGAACAAGTCATGTCCTTACTCCCCTGTCAAGTGTGTCCTGCATGTTTCCAGTACCTTTTCACCTTTCCTACAGCCCTGGGAGGTCATTAACACTGTACTTTCCAAGATATGTCGCTGTGTCAACTTGTCTGGCTAATGGTGATGTGCATAATGATATGTTGCAGATCTGTCTACCTAAAAGCACCCAACACTCTCCTCTACCCATCAGGATTTATTCCCCCAAACCTTGTTTGTGAATGAAGTAAATTAAGTTGTAGTATTAAAGCAGGATAATGGCTTGTTTGTTTATCTCTTCCCAGAAGTATTTTCATTTTAATAGTGGATTCTAGGAGACAGTATCTCACTCAGCTCCATGGAATTAATGAATACATGTTTGGTGTGTTTCAAGCTAATGGAAAAATTAAAATTTTTTTTTACAACATTTATTTATATATTTTTGTGTGAAAACTTCACGCAAGTGTACAATGTATCTTGGTCACATCCTCCCTATGACCTCCCTCACCTCATCCCCTCACTACACTTCTTCCTTCCCAACTTCATATCCTCTTTATATTCTATAACCCATTGAGTTCCATTAGTGTTGCGCATAGGTTCGTGAATGTGGGGGTCATCCCTTGGAGCATGGGCAACCTGCTAATGTCCACTCCCTAGCTGAGACCTGCCACTACCCCTCCCTCTGCATCTGCCACTAGCTCTTCGACCAGGGTTAGGGCTTTGGGAGACACTCCCTGCTCTGCGATGGATTTTTACCTTGATTCATCTTGCATGGGTCACATCCAGGTTTGAGTTCATGTGAGCAACAACCATGTTATGTTCTAAGGCCAGCATTTCACAACACCCCTCCACATCCTGCATCTCTTACATTCTTCTGACCCTTCTTCCATAGTGGTCTCTGAGATTTCCTTATAGAGATGACCATAAATGATGCTGTGTATTTTGCCTACATGTGAGGCATAAAATAAGGCAGAAATGTCAAATCCGTCCAATGTAAGGATGAACTGACATGAACATATATGTATTGGCTTTGGCGATTTAATTCTGAGTGGACTGACTGAAGAATGTCTCAGATGCATTCATTTTATAGGTCTTACCCGATAAGATAATTTTTCCAAACAGATGCTTCTTTATGCTCACAATATAATTGAAACATTTAAAGTATTTCTATATGTCACATATATATATATATAGTACTTAATGTGGAAATTCAAATTAATAGGATGGCTGTGGAGTCCTTCGACGATCTGATGGGAGGGTCCCAGCGCCTCTGGTGTGGAGAAGGTGATGGGATGCAGAATGAAAGTATGGAGGTGGGAGAGGTCCGCAGCCATGACCCCAGAAGCAGCCGCAATAGCACCGAGATGTCATCAGCTTGACTAACTGATTCGAAGCAGTGCCGATGGGATTCTAGATGGAAGATAGCCAAGAGAACAGGAAGAGAATGAGGGAAGATTCCTCTCCTGGTTGGAGCAGGGCTGTGGGTAGTATCTTCCTTTCCTGAGATGGGACAGACTGAGGAAAGAGAAGTCTTGGAAAAGAAAACTAAGAGGTTATTTGTAGGTACGTTAAGTGAAAAGGGTGCTGTAACTGAAGTTTAACCGAAGTCTTGTGGGAGCTCTGGGAACAGGGGGATCGTTATGTTATTTGACGGTGCTAGTGTATCATTGCCAGGAGCGGTAGAGACAGACCTCCGGGCTCAGAAACAGCTCCTGTGTGAAGCTGTGAGTGTTGATGAGATGAACTTGGCAGAGGGAGAAGAGAGCACCATAGCAGCAGTCTAGGGTTGGAGGGGGGGTATGATTGGAGAGAGCTGAGTATAGGCTGAGGCCCTGCACTGTTATGCAAGTAGGTTTAGCACTCCTTACAAACTCCTGGGAGTTCCTGTAGACTGCTGACGATGAGGAGTTCTGAGCAGATTTGTGGGCAGAAGGCAGGACCCACAACTTTGATGGGTAGATTAAAGGCGTGAGAGGGACAGGGAGACCTTGGGAGGCTGTTGTGCTAAGTCACAAAAGGGGTCATGGAGCAGGATCTGAAGTAGGACAGTGGCAGATGGAAGAGAAACAGACGGATCTAAAACATGATAATGACACCCTGGGCCGGGCTCTGACTCCTTTGACACCAATGTGGAAGCGGGTATTGACAGGGGAGGAACAGCAATCGGTGACTCCAGGCCAGCTGGGAGCAGCTAGCGGCTTCTGCATACTAAACACCTTTTTATTACTATTTTGATTGTACAAGCAGCCTCAAAATCATTTTTATGTGTCTAGAGAATTTTGATGATGTAAGTTAACTTAACAGCAGTTTCAGTGACCACAAAGGGCCTCTCCATGAACATGGTAAAGCCCTGGATCTGTAGGATAGAAGCCATCAGGATTCCAGCCTCTGGTGTAGCTGTGGGAAGACTCAGGTTTGTGGTAGTGGAGAGCTCCGAGCAGCCCGCAGCTGTTCTCCTTCCATGTGACCCGGGTTTGCTGCCAGACACCTCCCCATAGGAGTTCCAACCAAAAGGGCTCAGGGCATGGAGGCCTGGGGGTGGCCCCTCCAGGTGATCAGAGACAAGGGATGTGGGCACTGAGAGGACTTGTTGGGAGAGATGACCCTTCGCCAGCCGATCTCGGCCCTGTTCCGGCTCTGATGCTCCTCATCTGTCTATCGCCCCAGGACACTACTCTCTTCTCCTCTCCCTGCAGCCTTCCTTCGCTGCCAAGGCCGTCCTCACTCTTGGCTCATTGCAAGTCGAAACAGATTCACAGCTTGTTCCTTCTGCTCTTGGCCCTGTCGTCGGTTTGGTGACAAAGCAAATGGGTTTAGAGAGTCCTGATTCTCATGCTTCCTGCCTTTTCTTACTTATTTGTTTGTCTTGGAAAGGAAGGCAAGATTCTCAGTTCTGTCCCATCACCGGACCTTTGGTGCAACAATGCAGAGTGACTTCAGCCCCAGGTCAAAGTCATGCTCAGCACTGGACTCATTCACAGGCTCTGGGACAGAGCAGAGTGGAAGGGTCCCGAGCCAAGAGCCCAGCGGGGTCACAAGAGGAGCTAATGAATAGAGAAAAGTCACCATATTATTTTCTGTGTTTCTTAGTGCGCTCCATTCCTACTGAGTTTGTTTATGATAATGAAACACATTCAATATCTTCCTAAATTTTTAAATTTACATATTTTATTTGCTTATTTTTATTATCAGTTACAACATACATACTCAAAACTCCACAGATTATGAGTTATAAGCTAATAAACAATAAGACTATCAACATTCCATTAACTTAGGATGTGGCCAGCCTAACAAATCCCTCCTTAGTTTCCTGCTTGGCCACTTACCTTCCTCCTTCACAGACATACACTTACTAATTGTTAAGGTGATTTTCTTACTGCCGACAACAATCAATCCCATTACTCTCTAAACAGATCAATTTATTTGTGTTGAACTATGCATCACTGGAGAATGCTTGCACTTGTTGTCCAGGGTGTTATTTTTCTGTTTTTGACTATTCTTGACGCTTTGCATTTTCATATAAACTTTTAGGATCAACTTAGTCAAGGCCTACAACCCTAACATAAAATTTATGGGATTATGTTGAAAGCTTAAATTAATTTGGAGAGAACTGACATTTTTACAAGATGGAGTCCTTATTTAAGTCCCTTTAAATGTCTTACAAAGCTGGACTTGTTTGTGTGTTTGTTTTTTCTCACAGACTTCGTGTGCCTTTTGTTAGAATCATTACCAGGCACTCTATATGTTTAGAAGCTGTTGCAATTGCTGTCTCTTTTAGGATTTGACTTTTTGTGTGAGGCTGTTGAAAAAAATTCATTGGCTTTTTTGCTTTCTCTTGCTTTGGCAACTTCTGTGACCATTCGGAGTGCTCCATGAACTCAGTCTTGCATTTGGGAACAATGTTGGCTTGTTTCTTGCTTTCTAATCTTTATACCATTTGCTTGTGCCTTCATATCCTGCCTGGGCCCCGAAGGGATGCTGAAGGCTGATGGCTGGCCTTCCTCTTGCTTTTGATAATGAAGGGAAGTTCTCAGCACTTAACCATTAAGTATGATGTTCAGATAGTAATTTTTCATGTGTAATTTAATAAAGGGAGATGGGAGCAGCCTTCTGTTCTGACTTTTCGAAGAGCTTCAAGTCATGAAGGTTGTATTTTATCAAGTGTATTTTCTATGTGTGTTGAAATGGTTATATGCTTTTTCTGTTTCCAGTTCTTAATTAGAGAAGTTAAATTCATGCTTTTGGTGTGTTACCTAGTTAGTAATTGTAAAATCAACTTTCTCACAATGATATATTTTGTATTACCAGATTCAGTTTGATAAAACACTGAATAGGGTCTTTGTATCTACATTCATGAGAGAAATTAGCCTGTGATTTACCTTTTCATACCATTTCTGTTGTTTGTTAAAATGGGGCACTGGAATATTTTCATCTCATTCTGAAGTTTCCCAAAGGAAAAAAAAATTAAGTTTATAAAACATACTTGAGTAATTTTGTTGTCTTGGCATAGAGTTATTTGCCTATGCACACAACTCAAGGAATGTTAGATACTTAGAAGTTGTCTTCCTTTGGGAAACTTCAAATCATGTTCAGAATGTTTTCAGTTTGACAAATATCAGTTATTTCATGGGAAAAAAAACCCAGTATGTTCTTTCAAAACTTCTTCAAAGAAATGCTGGCAACTTGGCTCTGATGGCCTCATCTTTGGGTGAAACATTATTTTTTTAAAGATAACTGTAGTAACAAGTTTCTCAATAGTGCACTTTAGTTTCTAAATTAAAGGTCAGCGTGGAAAGAGTGTTTCTCATCATGAAGAACCCATGACACTAATAGTTTAAGTATTGAGTCATTGCTTGAACAGTGCCCTGTCTAGACCAAATTTTCACTTTTGGAAAAGAAAGACAAGTAATTTAAGCTAAAATTCAAAATCTAGGTTAAAGACACATGATGTAAAATATACAGTGTTGGCTGATATTAATTAGCTTTTGGATCCATATATGTATATATATATATATATATATATATATATATATATATATATCACACACACACATATATATATATATGATACAAGTACATACATATAATGATAGATATGTATATAAGGATCCTTCTCTCTACTAACACATTTTCAAGAGTGTTCAGAGACCACTTGGAAGCCCAGACCGTGCAATTTCCTCAGCTGGAGGCAACCTTGGCTCTCTAATTATAGAATACCATTTGTTTTGTAAGGACTGAGCCCAGGAGATCATATAGACTAGGCAAGTGTTCTTAGAATATTGTTTCTGCTGGGCATGAGTAGAGCATGCTTTCCTGCTCTTGGGAGGCAAAGGCAGGTGGCTCTCTATGAGTTCAAGACTAGCATGGTCTAGATAAAGAACAGGAGCTTATTTGTCTCACCATTTCTAGCAATCTCAAAATACAGTACTGCCACCCAGTCATCTCTGATGAGGTCCTTCTGGATAGCAGTGTGGTGGTAGGGTGTGTGAGAGGGGCAGATGACAGGAAAAGGAAGGAAGGAAGGAAGGGATGGAGAGAGGGAGGGGAGAAGAAGGCTGAATTGAGAAAGAACTACATCCTTCATTACCCATTCTTGTGAGAACTAAAGCATTTTGAGAGCTCTGTGCTAATTCCCTATGAAGACAACTCTGCCATCAAGGCCTTGGCTCTTAATGGTTGTACCACCTCGATACCAGCACATGGGTGAGGAGGCCTCAAGCATGTGAACTTTTGGAGAACACATTCTAACAAACCATAACTAGTCATGAGAAGGAGGTGCATGCAAGGAAGAAAACAGAGATGACAGGGAGAGTTGTATTAGGCAGGATAGTTTGAAAAAGATCATTGAGGGGCTGGAAAGATGGCTCAGTAGTTAAAGGCACCGACTGCTTTCCCAAAGAACTGGGTTCAAATCCCAGCACCCACATGGCAGCTAACAACTGTCTGTAACTCCAAGATCTGACATTTGCACACAGACTTACCTACAGGCAAAACACCAATGCACATAAAATAAAAGTAAGTAAATTTAAAAAAATCATTGAGTAAGTAACCTTTGAGCAAAGCCTGAATGAAAGGAGGAAAGAAGACCTATGGGTAGCTGGGAGAAGACTCTTAGAAAAAGAGAGCAGAAGATGCATAGCATTCTCCAAGCATTTGCTCCTTCCCAGGAACAGCAGGGGGCCTATTTGCTAAAGCAAAATTAGTAAGGGAAGATCTCAATTTGCAAGGCAGGCTATGACACCAGTTGCCAGATCACCCAGGGGCTTATAGATCAAGGGTAGAACTTCCAGGCTTATTTTAAGTGTGACAGGAAGACATTGGCAAGGTTGGACCATTAAGTCAAGCTGAATATTCTGCCTAGAGTAATCTGAGAAGAGACATAATGGAAGAGGTACGGAGGTGACTGCCCATTGCAGTTTTACAGAGAGGGACCAAGGATGCAAGGATGGAGAAATGCAGGAAATGCAAGGTACAATGGAGGCAGCTTTGTTCTTTTCCCCTCTGCCTTTTAAAAATTAATTTTTAAGTCAGCATCTAGAGTAACAGATCTTACCATGGACTTC